TTTATATTTATCATAAATATTGCATAAAATATTTAGTTCTATATTTTAATAATATTTCGAATAAAGCTTTATATAAAATATGTATAAAATATCTATATAACATTTCAAAAAATGAATATTAATAAATATTTATCATATAAATATTCTGTGCTGTCTGGGTAGTTCTTGATGACTCACTGATCAAAAGTGTCCACAGGCACAAAGCTTGAAAATGACTAGTTTTTTTGTTATAACCGTTTAAAGTTTTATTTTATTAATGCCTCAAAAGCAATATTGTTTTTGAGGCATTAAATAAAATAAAACTTTAAACGCCGACTATCGACAGTTATCAGTGTCATTGCGCAGCTTTTTCAGCATATAAAATATCTGCGCAACGACACCACAACTGTCGGTAGACGAGTAAAACAGTTACCCCGGATCTACAATAGATTTTTAAGTCTTAAGGGGATGCTGGAGTGTCCTGTTTTACCATTAATTTTTAAAGACTCTTTTCTCTTATTTGTGTTTATGGATTGAAAAGTCCTTCACAATTAAAGTATCGATAACAACTCAGGCTGCGAGCTACAATTTAATACAAAAAACGAAAGAAAATTAAAAATTGTAGTTTTGTCACCGGCTCCTGCAGTCAACTACAAATAAAAAAAAAAACTACAAATACTACAAATAAAATTGACGTGAATAGCCATGAAACCGAGCAGTATTTTAGTTGATCTCTTTCTAAGAGATGGCGTTGCAATATGTTAGATAAGGACAGATGAATTCGTTTGAGTGAGACACAATGATGTATAATAAGTATAAGAAATGAATGAAAGATGTCACTATTGTCGAATTTGGAATTTAAAAAAGTCTGGACTATCGACCTTGATTAACTTCGACCGTCACTCCAGCATCCCCTTAAGCCATAAGGAATGGACGAATCACAATCAATTATTTTCCTCGCATTTGATTGTAGATGGTCAATTTCTTAAGGCTTAAAGGCTTCTTTAAGTCTTCGCGGCCCTGGAGAGAAAAGAACAAAATGAAATAAAAATTAATGAATAAGAATCAATCGCTTGATGAGCAAGCTGCATTCCGAAACCCATAGAAAAAAAAATTATTGCAACCTTTTAATAACCGACTGTACATATGCTATGAAACTAATAAATCATGAAATTAGTACCGTATTACTATACTTAGTGTACTCTTAGGGCCGGTTGTTCCATCTTTTGGTAAATTTTACCTGTGAGATAAATCTGGCAATCCGCGCATATGTGATTGGATAATCTTGCTACTTACCCAACAAGTAAAATTTACCAAAAGGTGGAACAACCGGCCCTAAATCACTTAAATTTTAACAGGCACGCGAATTTCCATAAGCGCCGACCGTCTTTAATTACTTTAACAGTATCTCGTCGGTGCGCATCCTCACACTGTGCAACTGTCATGTCAGTTTAAACATCGAGTTTCATTCAAAAAAAGTTTAAAATTAGTTAAATTAATTTGTCTTATTAAATTAAATTAATTTAATTAATTTTTATTAAATTAAAGTTTTTTATTGTACAACGACGGCATCACAATGAGCAATATAAATCTCTGATGTATAATGAAACTTTTCGAAAATTAATTAAATTAAAAAAAAATATGAAGATTTATATATTGTTCATCATAATGTCATCATGTTCAATAAAAAATTGTAATTATAATAATTCGCGCAATACAAAAAATAAAATAATAAGTTCTTCATGCTTTCCAAAAAAGAGCAGAGATGATTGAAAAATGAAAAGTTTGATGTGAAGAGAACGTTAATCCTAAATCTGGTATGTATATGCTAATTTATAAAAGTAAAAAATAAAGTAATAAATAAATTAAGTAATTCTTTATTGGTTTTGTAGCTGATGTCTGTTTTCAACATTTTCGTCCTACACAGTTTGAAGATCGATCGTAGTTATAGGTCCGGAAATGTACAAATCAAATTGAGATGTGAAGCAATTCCAATTTCCAATAGAGGCTGCGGTCCACTTAGCGCTTCAAACGCTACAGAGCACTTGTAGCACTGACATGACTGGTCCATTTGATGTTTCGGAACACTCTCAGCAACTCTACGTCATCAATACATCATCGTTTTTGCTCCCGTTTCGCTCTAACTGCCTCACTTCGGGAGGTGAGTTGGCTGGAGCGTTCACGTAGCAATTGTAGCATTCGAAATAGTAATGGACCAATCGAAACGTAGCGTTTGGAACGTAACGTTCAAGGTATCAATCATGAAACTTTATCCCTAAGATGAAAAGTGAAAAGTGAAAATTTTAACGATTTAAGTTAATGGAGAAATTTTTCACTTTTTACTTTTCATCCTAGGAAAAAAGTTTCGTGATTGATACCCAGAGCATTTGGAAGAAGCAAGTGGACCGCAGCCAATATGTAGAGGGCAATAACAAGGACGAACTGTACTCTGCAAGATATGGAAATTTCAATTTTTTCCACTATGGCAACACTGATTCCTCACTATACCCACGTGGTCTCTACATATATATATATCGATCGGCGTTCGATCGGAGCATCGGAGTTGAAAGTGAATCAATTCTTACTGGCTTTCTGTAGCAAATAACTGGTAAATGACGCGAGCCTCTCTCGTGACTGTGTTGATGCTACTTTGCATAGCACGGAGTATCCGTTCTCAGATTTACCAAAATATGTCGAGTCTCGCCGGCGTGCATTCTGTGGCGTATGTCACCGTGCCAGACGATGCAGTTGCAAAAAGATTAGCACGGTAAGAGTAACACTAGAAAATAATAAAAATTATTGTTATGCCTCGATGAGAAGTCTTCCTTTAACCCGACCTTTCTCTTTTTCTTTTCATAAAGAGGTCTAGTCGAAAACAAGCTCGCTGCCTGCGTTAACATCATCCCGCGACTCATGTCCATGTAAGTCTCTTGTATTTATTGTTCAGTTTGTATGTTAGACTAGGGTTGTTTTAAAATAATGATCTCTTTTTCATGTGTATCTAAATACATGATTTGAAGGGCATGTATATCCGTGTATCTCAATGTATGGTTGCACGTGTATCGAAATGTACAGGTGCCACGTGTTTAGCGTACGTCCATATTATCGAGCCGAAACTCGAGCCAAATCTCGAATCGCGAGCATTTCGGTAAACATTTGTTACGCGGCTCGACAAAAAACAATTAAAGTCAGCCGAAATGCTCGCGGCTCGATAATTTGGATGCACCCTAATGTATTCACATTTTATTTCATGCAATTATTAATGTATAATAAGATATCCGCATATTTAAGTATCCTTATGGAGTAAACACAGTTTGCAAATTAATTTCTTTGTCCATAAATTAATTTGGATGTCTTATTTTATTAAAATGGTTCTGTTATACTTAATAGTCATAGAGAAAAAGACAAAATAGAAATAAGCTATAACAATAGTTTGATATAATGAATATTATATTACACATTAACTCTTCATCTACACTTTTGGATCGTTCGTGTTCTGCGCATTTCTTTTGTTTAAAATACTAAGAGCACCTGATCAAATATCGGTCTCTTTTCTGTTCCTAAAACAAATTTGGCATCTAGCGAACAAGTTTTGTGCGTTGCCGGCCTCAATTCATGAGTATCCTTTAACTAGAATAACTTCGAAGTTCATCTCTGGGTCACAATTAATCCATTATGTGTATAGAGTATACATTTTTGTAACTAAAAAAATTTTATTTTCAACTTTTTCTTGTTTGTATTGCAGGAAGATTTCGCGAATTATTAAAAAAAGAATTTAACCCTAAGCAACAAAATATTAGCTCTTAATAAACACAATAGTTTTTGGCACCCTTATGTTAAATGTTGTCTGTAATATATATTATGTTATCTGTATGTTATAAAGAACATTTTTCTAATAAATTATAGTTTTTTTAACACAATAGCAATAATAAAATGCATTGTTTAAAATATAAATGCAATATATCTTCAATTTATAGCCATGCACATTAAAAAAACATCATTATCAGATTACTGAATAACTAAATTTTTGGACAGCCGATACTTGAATTGTTCTTTTGTAATTTGGAATATCAACTTTAAGATATTGAAACACATCTTTCCTTTAAACATTTCTGTTTTAGAGTTTTACATTTTTGTATGAAAAAGTGTATTTTTCTCATTTTGTTAACTATTTTAGTTATAACAATTTATGTACAATTTGTTATAAGTATACTTTTATAAATACTTCCTAAAGATGTCAAAATACGTAAAAATCATTTAATAGTTTTTATATACTTGTAAAAGTGATGAAAATTAATCCAGAACACGAATGATCCAATGTGTGCAGTAGGGTGCCCAAAAATAAGGTATGCACTAAAGATTTATATGTGAATACACAACAAAATAAGAATTTAAAGCCTATAACGATCGAAGCGGTTGTAAAGCTGGATCTTTAATGCTTCAATGTGAATTACATATATGTATGTATAAGCATATTTACCATATTTGTAGTTGTTCAAACATAGGGATGTGTATCGACAAGAAGGATCTCGATGTTTAATATTGAAGTTAACTTCGAAACATGCTATCGATGATAGAGAAATATCGGCTATACAACATCGATGTTTCTTTTTCTTTCTTTATAATAAAGCTTTAATTTATAATGTAATTTATGTAACTATCCTATAAGAGGCATAATATTAAAGATATAATATTTTCGAAATATTATGTTATTTTAATTTTTTAATATACAGGAAAAAATATTTAGTGCTTATAGGGTATAAAACTAATTGATTATAAATATATTTATTATTAAATCGTGTAAACATTTGAGATAATAAGAATTAATACTAAAAATATTTAATAATGTTATATTTTTAATACTTTAAATAAAATACATATTATAACTATCTGGCCGTCTGACGTCTCTGGTAGTGAATTTTGGAACAAATCAACACAGCCATCGAACACAAGATATCGATGAAACATCAAAATATCTTAACTTGAGACATTGATAGCAAAACATCGAAAAATTGAAGGGCAAACGTCGATGTTTTCTAAATATCGATTATTTTTGCACATCCCTAATTCGAACTGCGCGCCGAATTGGTTTTCCGTACTTTATACGCAATTAAACTACTGTAATAATACCACAAATTAAATTAAATTGACAAGCAATTTTTAATACGAGCGTCCTAAGCTTTTAGAATTTAGACTATCGAGGCAGTTTATTCACAGTTTTTCAGTACATTAACATCTTTCTAATAAATAAAGTGAAGAAAAAGAGCATGAAACCACAACACCAGTTGTTTTAAGTGATATTTAATATATTCAAATTTTAAATTCATTAAACGTTTCGGCCATTATCTGACCATCTTCAGTAACTGAAGATGACCAGATTATAAACCACTTGATTATAAATCACTTTTTTTATTTGAAAAAATCTTTCAATAAAATGCCAGATCAAATTATTAAATTGCTTATCAATTTAATTTGCGATATTATATAGTAGTTTGATTGCGTTTATAAGTTCGGAAATCCAACTTGGCGCGCAGTTCGAATGATTACACAGAGAAAAAGGTTTCTTTGGATTTAGTATTTCTATTTATTTGACTAAAATTTGTTTTATTGAAACAACATATGCTTGTACGAAATATTATTTGTTTGAATAAAAATGTTGTCTCATTCGAGAAATCTATTGCTTACAGAAATAACATTATTATATGAAGTAATATCTTTCAATTAAATAAAATATATTATTTGATTACAATGAATACAAATAATGAAACAAATTATTTATTTGAAAATGGCAAAATATATTCATAGAGGTTAGGTTATTCCATGCAAATAATTGCTTTCTTAGAATAATCATTACATTTTTTGACCGAAAATATGGAAACAATGGCTTATACGTTTAACAACAGGATTAAACGAGCAGTGCTATGTGCTATATCAATTATGTTTGTGCCGTACAGTTGATCACGCGAATACTGAAAATAGATATTATCTGTTCAAACAAATAATGTATTTAAGACAAAGATATATACATTGTTTCAAATTCAAACAATCGCACTTATTGATTCAAATATTGGTTTGTTTGGACCATTCTAAATAACAAATTTATTTGGATACAATAAAATTTATTACATCCAAAGAAATCTTTTTCTCCGTGTATAAATACGGTATATATGTTTGTACACATATATAGTATGTATACATACAGGGTGTCCCCAACATACGGTCCCACTCGTCTTGAGCAGATAGAGCGAACTAAACTGAGTCGAAAAGTCCTCTACCATTTTGCAATTTTCGCAATAGTAATAAGATATTAATTACTAAAAATTGCAAAATATTAGTCTTGAATAATTTTTTACTCAAATACTATCAACTTTACAGAAAATCTGCAAGAGACAAAAATCATTAATTTTTTTTCTTCTCATAAAGTGCTGAGAATTTTTTTCAGAATTTATTATCAACTTTTTATTACTGCATTTTCATATTTTTATCAATGTGAGAAAATACGGTATTAAAAAATTCTAAAAAAATTCTCAGAACTTTACGAGAAGAAAATAAATTATTTTTGTCTCTTACAGTTTTTCTGTAAAGTTGATAGTATTTGAGTAAAAAATTATTCAAGACCAATATTTTGCTTATATATAAATTCACATTGAATTATTTAAACATTAAAGATCCAACTTCGATCGTTATAGGCTTTAAATTCTTACTTCAATGTTTTATGGCATTTATAGAAACAATCTATGGATCATCAAAGTCTACATTCTTTGTTGTTACATTATAGATTGTACTAAAAGCTTCCATCTCGCTTATATATTTTTATTTCATCAATACTAAAATTAGATATATTAACAATCATATAACTTAATTATTTCTTTCTGTATTGTGTTATCTAATTTATATAATAATTTTTATGTTTTATATTGCTTGTATATTATGCACATGAAAAACTTACATAAACTTTAACGTAAAATTTTATTTAAAATGTAATCTTGAAATATATAGCACAAAATCCTAGTTTAGATCAAAAAATTGTTTCCCCAATAGTCTTAGGGAAAACTTTCAATCTGTCAAAGACTTTTGATTAAAGAATAAGTATTGCCCTCACAGATACGAATGGGAAGGAAAGATACAAGAAGAGTCTGAACTTTTACTGGTAAGAAAGATTTATCAAACTTTGTATACATTCAGTCATGCAAATATAAAATTATTATTGACCATCTGTCTATACATAAATTATAGATGATAAAAACTAAGACGGAGAAAGTAGATGCTTTAACAAAATATGTCAAGTGAGTTAAATATGGCCAATATATCTATTTAAAAAATATGTCAATGTTTATAACTTGATCTTTTTCAGAGAAAATCATCCGTATACAATTTGCGAAGTAATCTCTTTGCCCGTAAGTTAATTTGCGTATTTTACTCTGCTGGAATAGCTTCGTAATACTTTTATACAGTCGAGGAGGAGAAACAAAAAATAGAGACAAGACAACAATAGTTTGATATAATGAATAATATAATTGGATGAATACAAGGCATATATATAAACTTTATGATTAAAGACACAAACTACTTAAACATTTATATTTTAGATACAAAATGGTAACAGCGATTACCTGAAGTGGATCAGCGAAGTGGTACCATCACTTGATAAAAACGCTTAATATAATTAAGATATATGATATATACTCATAACAATGACTATGTTTACACGACATCCTTAATCGGGTTTAATAACATCTGTAGTTTATAAAACTGACCAATCATAGCTATTCCTGTGAAGAATGGAATGACTGTGATTGGCCAGTTTCATAACCGTGGATGTTAATAAACCTGATTAAAGACGCCATATAAAGGTAGTCAATAATTTATTAATAAGATTGAGATTAGTAAAACCTATTTACTTTCGATAACTGACTCCCGACTCATTATCAAACTCCGGTAAGAATAAAAAAGAAACTAATCATAACATGCATGTAACAAAATAACATATAGAATGTGATACTTCTATTAGTTACACAAGCAGACATGAATTTTAACCCAGAAACGACAGTATGCAATCCCGAAAGTTTTTGGAATGCTAAAACCAAATCCGTAGCCCAAATTGCTCCATCACGTCAGGTTTCCAAGATATCTTAAGCTAAAAGTACTAAAAAGGCCTGGGCCTATTTTGGGCATTTTTAGATTAAAATTTCTCGTAAACGTGATATGATGGAGAAATATAGGTATGCTGGTTCGAATTCGGCATGAAAAAATCTACGAAAATCACCTATAATTATATATATATCAGCACAGTAAAATAAAAAAAATAGATATATTGCAAGAGTATATATTCACCAGCTTTAAGGCACCTCTAAATGATATGGCCAATGTATACGCCAACGTTGCACATATTCGCTAAATATTGATTACATTTATTGATTACATACTGTCGTTTCTGGATAAAAAAAAGATGTTTTTTGTAGGCCTGTGTTATTAAACATGTCAAGTGATATTGATCAGTCTGTTTTACAATATTATACGCACATATAATATTGTGTACCTTCATCATTTATCATGTATTTATGTTATAAAGGTTTAATTTTTACATAGTATTTTTTGAGTAAAATATACCAAACCTTTCTACATGATAACCTCTCTTAAAATAACAATTCTATTTATCAGTAAAAACAAATCAAACTTGTTTGAATATATTTAGTACTTTTTTGTATCATTATATATTTATGAATACATTTTGTACTAATTTGTACTGTTAAAAGTAATCTTGTATTAATTCAATTAATTTCTGATCTTAATCTTCTTTTTTTTATTTTAAAGTGATCCTGGCAACTTGATAATCGCTTTTTTCAAAACATACATAGAGAGGAAGTGTGCCCAGTATCGGACCTAAGGTTTTCTCAAAATTGGAAAGAATCGAAAATGAGAATCAGTAATGGCCTAGTTTACATCGTGCACTTGATACAGGTATTATAATTAATCATTTTGAAGCATGTTATACCAACTTAGTATATTGGTCTGGGTTTAAGAAATTGGCTAATCACAATCGAATATAAGGAGAAAAGTTGGCTATGATTAATCAATTTCTATAGCTTGAGGCTTAAAGTTTAAGTTTTACATCTTAAAATCTTATTGTAGACACCGCTTTAGCCCAGATCTACAATAGATTTTTAAGTCTTAAGTTATAAGAAATGGACGAATCAATTAATTATTCTCCTCATACTCGATTGTAATGGATCAATTTTTTACGGTTTAAGGCTTATTAAAACACCTATTGTACATTCGGGCTTAACCTCTTTCGGCTTTTAAAGCAAAGTTGTGAACCGAAACTTATATTTCACAAGGACAAAAGATATTGACATCGTTCGGTACAGGACAATATCCGGACAATATTGGACGCACTTCCTCTAAAAATTATATAAATTACACTTAGTCAAAGAAAAAGCAGCACAGCAGAAAAATTGGAAAAATTTATGAAACTTCAAATGTTCGTAACTCAATAAATAATTATGATACAGAGATGTTCAAAAAAATGAAAATTAAGCTTGAAGTCTGTATTTGAAGAAACCTCTAATACCGATTGAGCGGCATTAATTATTTTCCAATGGCCGATGATAAAGTGAGGACTTGCAAAATTATCAAGTAGACCTATTTCTGGAGTTGCATGGAGTAAAGTAGTTGACGCAGCTTAATGAGGGTAGCTAAAAAAAGTCATGAAATTTCAAAATTTCGTCTTCAAAATGCGCTTTTGCTCAATAGTTTGAACTGATAATGGCGGCATTACAATTCACAATTCATCATTACTTCGTATAAAAAACTTTTTTTTCAAATTGTCATAACTTGGCGAAAAGTTATAGCCGGAGAAATACCTTGAGCTCTGTCAACTGCTTTACTCCGTGCAACTCCGGAAACAGGAGGTTCTACTTGTCATTTTTACAGGTCCTCACTCTATCGGCCATTGGAAAATTATTGATGCCACTCAATCGGCATTAGAAATTTCCCAAAGTACAGACTTCAAGCTTTATTTTCGTTGTTTGAACACCTCTGTATCATGATTACTTACCGAGTTACGAGCATTTGAAGTTTCGCAAACTTTTTTGCTGTACCGCTTTTTCTTCGATTGAATGTATTAATCTACAAATTAACACATAAAAAGTACTAAATATTCAAATAGGTTTAGCTGAAATAATCCTATTAATTTAATATTATTTTATCCATCCATTCATCCAATGGCACTACGATCCAAATCGGAGTTAACGCCGAATTCGAACGGCGCTGGTGATCGAAAATGTCTTAATCACCAGATGGAGCCATTTGCTCCTTAAACGCGAAAAATCATGTGGGCGCAGGTGAAATTGATCTGAATCTATAGATCTCGAGTATTAAGCAGCAAGCTACTCGACGCCCTCAGCTTAACAGAATTATGTAACATAAAAGTCTCAATACTGATTTAAATACTTAATCTTATATAAAACAATTAATTTATTATTTATTCGATTTTCATATACATAAAAAATTTATGTCGTACAGCATTTAAAATCTTGACTTTAAATCAAACTTAAAAAAATTTTAATAATATTTTATCAATTGCTCTGTAAAAAGATACATTATAGTTTTTGTAAATTACATGTTTTTTGTGATTTATGGTTTTTTGTGATTTACCATGATCTAGATATATTATAAATATATATATAAAAAATTTCCACACTGATGGAATTATCAATTTTGTTCATCATAAAAATAGTATCAAAATGCGTTGAAAACAATAAAAAATATTTAAAAAATGCGTTAAAAACAATAAGGAATATAAAAAAATATAAAACAGTATAATTAAGAAGACATACACCACAAATACGCCAGATGAGAATGGCTTAAAAATTTATTTGTATTTGAAATATTACAATAAAATGGACATTTCGGTCTTAAATTAGACCTTCCTCAGTATTACAAAAATTGGCAACAATAATTTATTACGCATATAATTAGTTAAAATTAACGAATATAAGTTCTATATGTTGTCAGCAGTTGATTTGATAACGCTCTTAAATAGATTTGATTATGATAGACGCAACCGTGTTCAAACAAATCAAATTGTCTACCGGATCCCGATAAATGAACCAAAGCCAATAGGAACATTCTTTGTTCAACCTCGATGCAACGCAAAAGTTTCTATTTCTGCGTCGAACGATAAAATACACAGCAATCCAGGATCTAGAGTCAATGTGATTGTGCTCAGCGTTAAAAATGTTATATTTACTGGCTTTGGTTCATTTATCGGGATCCGATAGACAATTTGATTTGTTTGAACATAGTTGCGTCTATCATAATCAAATCTATTTAAGAGCATCATATTCGTTATAGAAATAATGGTATTATCTCATCTCCATCAAACCACTGCCGGTTAACACGTATACAAATTAATAATTAAATATGTAAGATACAATATTTGAAACTTATCGCGCACTTAGTACAGCGCTAATTCCCATAGCCGAATTTATTATAATATATTTTTTTATATATATCAGGGAATTAAGATTATCATTTGTTTAAGTAAGAAATATGAGACCGGCTCGCATAAAGGAGGCACATCAGTGTCTCGCGCCACGCTTAATGCAGAGACACTACCGTATCTCCAGATAAATTGAGAATATTTAAAGTATGTAGACTCTAAAATTATTACAAACCAACTCAAGATCTAAATATATATGCATGACTTCAATATTTAGAATCAAAATAAATGATAACATTAAATTTAATTTAAAATAAAATGAAAGAAAATTTAACTCTGTGATCCAAACAAATAATATAAAATAAGCAAGCCATATCAATAATTTAATGGAGACGATATTATCGTTCACCCTGATAACCAGGATAAATTAATAATAATGCAGATGATAATGTCTCATTGACCTTCATATCATAAGTATTACCTAGAAAGTATCGACATACAGGACAGGAATAAATCTCGGAAGCAAAACTCCGTTTTAAGCATTTTAAGCAAATGTTATGTTTACAAGGTGTCGTTACAGGATTGTAAAGTATCCCAAGACAGCAAGCGCATTTAAATCTGCAAAATATAAAATTTTATTGTATCAAGTATCAGATTGATTACTGAAAGTCACTTAAAAAATATTTAATACTTTATATAAAACATATTACCTCTCTGAAACACAATCCAAGAAGGCAGGTTTCCCATTGATCAACGTTGCTCTACATTCATCCCATAATTTAGCATTTATTTTATCATTTTCTATTAAATTTTTCAATTTATCCTCCAAATCAAAAACTAATTTAGACCCTTTAGATTTCTTAATAGGCACACTGCCTTCTTCGTCACTATCATTGATGGGTCGTTTCTTAGCCGAGATTTTTTCCTTCATGTTATTTTCTTGATTTGAATATCCATCAGGATACAACATCTTTAAACCAAGAAATTCTATTCTCTTTTTTCCTTCTTTGGTCCATGGTGCAGGAGTGGGATCGTCTCTTCTTAATACATACTTCCATATGAGAAAATTGTTACTTGTGTCAGGATAATATTTCACTACTTTATATAAACCATCGTATCTGTGAGAAAATCAAAAATTGTTATAGAGTGATATATACTACAGATCTATAGCACAGTAAAAACAATGCGTTCGATGTACCTGTTACCTTCCTTCGGTGCATATTTACTAAATTTCCCTAATTTATAATTGCGTACAACTCGAACTGGTTTCCCATGTCTCCAATCTTTCCCAGCCGACGCACCAATCTTCTCATTTAAGGAAGCATTACAATTGTTAGCTAATGCCAAATTCATTCTTTGTAGTACCTGGTTTTTGCTTTGTGAATTGGTTCTTCTGTTACCTACATATCCAAAAAATATAAATACAAATATGCTCGCTTGTGTACGTGCATTGAATATATATACACATTTTATGATTGGATTATGATAAGCAATAATTCTTTTTAAAATAATGAGAATAGAGCTACGAGCCAAGCAAGGTCTTGATGCTATATTATTAAAAAACAAACAGAAAATTATTAAAACATATGTTTTGATCCCAATCAGGTCATTCTCAATGTTCAAACAATATAACGCAATTTAAAATTCAAACGGAATTAATTAATCATCGTAATTATTAGAACAAAAAATTATAAAAACATAACAGTATCTAAATTCATCGCTATAAATGTAAAATAAATTCTAAACAGACGTATAGTTTAGCGCCAAATGACCATGGTCAAGGTGCATCCTTTTGTATTTTTTATATTATTTGACAATAAAAATAAAACAAAAAATAAAAAAATTCTAAATATATTATCTTTATTTTAGACCGTATATGTGAGAAACACGATCAATATTAGAAATTTAAACGCCTATTACGGTCGAAGCTGGATCTTCGTTACTTTAAATAATTCAATCTTGAATTACTAATATATACTATATATGTACTTGCATATATACCATATTGTAGTCTTCTTCCAACTGCGCGCCGAATTGTTTTTCCGGACTAAATAAACGCAATTAAAACTATTCTAGTAATCGCGAATTAAGTTGGCAAGCAATTTAATAATATGATGCTACCATCAAGCATCATATATTATAAAGATATTAATAATATGATGCTACCATCAAGCATCATATATTATAAAGATATTAATATATTAAAACTG